CATCTTTGTAGGCGTAAAAAAAAAAATACTGACATATTCCTGGAGAATCTCAGCAGTTTAAACCCTGAATAATTACAGTTAATATCTACAGGGAAGTCCTATAATGTGTATATGATTCATGATGGGAAGGGAAAAAAAAATAAATCAAAGGGCAAACTTCACATGTAAATGTCAGTCTTCCTGAGTGGGCGTGAGTACCGGGGGCCAGCAGCCGTGTTTGCTGGGGGGATTTTATGAGTCAGAGATCACAGAAACCCATTTCTTTGGCTGTGCATTAATTATGGCGAATTCTTATCCACGTTGAATTATTTCTATATCACAGGTCCAGTCGACGAACCTTTTTGGAAATTGATTCTCTACCAGGAATTGCGGTCAAAAGTGCCTCAATAAGCACATTTTAAATGAACCCTCAAAGGTCAACTGTGACGTTCATGCATTTTAAATCGGAGTTGTGGAAAAAGAAACTGCACCTGTTCTATCTATCTGTACTATAAATGATACGGCTTCACAAAAGGTTGGAAAGAAGACATTTCAATTGCGACAAGGGACGTCCGATATCAAATATGCCGATATTGTCCGAACACTTAAAGTCCGACCGATTCTGATATGAACCAATACACATAGGCGTTCCCTCCCCCCCAAACTATATCTATGTTTCATTACATATCACCTGTCGTGGAATTAACACATTATTTGCTGTGATGCTCCACTAAAGGCACTCCACAAATTAGCATTTTCTGTACAAAAATTCAAACTCAGGCATTGCATTATCGTGTTTTTTTTAATCGAAGGAAAAATTTAAATCATGATTAATCCTTATTACATTAAAGACTTTGCTGGGATTAATCAGATTGAAAAAAGTTTTGACAGCTTATATAAACATATACTGTCAGAACACCCTGATCTTTGTCCCCTACTGTACAACCATTACATTTGCAGTAACAGATACTGCAGGTGGACAATGTTCAAACCTAAAGTATTTGACGTCAGAGTGAAGGATATTTTTCTCTTATAACTCACTGCTGAGGTTGACAATTTCACTGACCCCTGCTTTTTTTTTTTAACACATGGCATTCGTCTGTGATCCCATAAGTGACACAATAAAACAGTTCCTACAAATCAGAAACTACGTGATGTTGCAGTAGCTGCAGAGAGCAGGACAGTAAGTCTTAGCCAGCAGGTGTCACTACAGGTGAAACACAGTGGATGATGACCACCACGGCGGCCAGAATGGCCCTATGTTCTCCAACTGCTTCACACCGTACACATTAGCCTTCCTCTGGCACAGCATCTGCCTTTTATGAGCCGAGTTATGTGATTATCCGTCTTCAGCCACAGAATCTCATATTTTCTCTGGTTAAATAAATTGCGACTTGGAAACAGCCCCATAAAGCCCAATTCTCCTTATTACGTGGAGTGTTGTAGTTTACAGCTGGTGCTCATCTGAGGTCATTGTAAAGTAAACAAAATTAAGTCACAAATCACATGCGGCAAAGCCAAAAAAAAACTGAAAAAAGATTTGGTGGCGTGAGGCTTGTGAGATTAATCACTGATTGTACTTCACCGGGAATTTAATGTTTTGTTTTTGTTTGTGGAGAACTGTTAGGAAAACTGTAGCTCTGTTGAAGGGACATGATTACATTTGCAGTGAAAAATATATAAATAAATAATGTCCTGAAAAACAGGGTCACTGTTGACACAAGCACTGCAGAACACACCGTCACATTTATATATAAATATACATATACATATATACATATGTGTATATATATATATATACATACATACATACATATGTATATATATATATATATATACACATATGTATATATATATATATACACATATATATACACACACACACATCTATATATATGTATGCATATACATGTATACATATATATACTAGATTTCTAACATCAGTTTCAGGCTGATGTTGCTTTTCTGTCCTTTGTAATTGAATGAATGAAGTTTCAGTTTCAGGCTGATGTTGATGTTCTGTCCTTTGTAATTGAATGAATGAAGTAACAATATGTGATACTATTTTTTGTGTCCATTTTGAGTAGGACTCAATATAAAATGAAAATATCAAAGATG